TATCTTCTTGAAGATTCTCAGCGGTCGGTGATTCCCGAAGCAGCCTCCACGCTTTGTTTTAAGTGTGAATACACTTTATAAGCGACCCCAAACCATCCACCGCCGTCGGCGGCGTCCGCAGTCTTCTCTCTATCTTTAAAAGAAAGAGGACTTGGCGGGCCGCAGCGCGACGCTCTACCGAATAAGCCACGGACGCGACGCTGATATCGGTGTCAGTAACGCGCCTTATACCCCCTCCCCCTTCGCTCGCTCCTCCGCTCTCCTCGCTCGCTGCAGCTGTGCGCGCACCTCTCTCTCTCGCGCGCCCGTCTTCTCTCTCAGTCTCCCGACGAGAGCGGGTCGTGAGGGGGAGTAAAGTTAAAATCCGTTGGCATTCGCCAGTGAATTAACGTAAACTCCCCCGTGTGATCAAATTGCGATTCCCAAGAACCATTACACCATAAAGGCACCATAGTGGGATTAATAAATATAATAGTGCGAATTAATAAATACCCCTCATAGCATCACCCCGTGTATTCGCACTTAACCATGTTCACCCTCGGGGAAATGCTTGGGAGTTTTTTGCTGTCTGCACGCATTCTGGCACTCAGAGTTCCACAATGGCACCTGTCGTTTTCCATGGTATCTATTCATTTGTGGGATGCATTTTGTTGTAGCATCAATCAAAAAAGCTGTGAAATAGTTGAAAGCGGCATCAATGCTTAAAGTACATATGTCAGTTCAATTTAAACTAGTAATGGTATAAAACTTTTCCCAGTTGGCTTTGCTTATGAGACCATTGGGAACCTGTGGCGAACATTCAGTTGATGTAGGGGAGCTCAAAACTAAGGAAAAATGGTCACTTCCGAAGAGATTAGTGATGACTTTCCAGTGGAGTAGATGCCCAAGCAATGAAGATACTATGCTTAGGTCTATGAAGAAGTAGGTATTGTTAGCGAGGTTATAATAGGTTGGTTCTTTTCGATTCAGGGAACACGTGCCGGAAGAGAGAACAAACTGTTCAATCAGTCGACCTTGCGCGTCGCAATGAGAGTCACCTCATAGCCTACTATGCGCATTCAAGTCTGCAAGAAGAACATAAGGTTCCGGAAGTTCATCTATTAAGGACTGGAAATCACGTTTTTTTATGTGATAGCTCGGAGGTACGTAAAGAGTATAAATTGTTGTCAATTTGTCGAAAGGCCCTGCTCGAACAGCCATTGCCAGAGATGTCTGGGGTTGAAAGTGTATGCATGCAATTCGTTGATTCACTATAATGACAACACCTCCGGATGATGTCATGGCATCATCACGGTTCTTTTGGAAAATAATGTAGTTACGTATAAAGTTGGTGTGTTTTGTGTATAAGTGTGTTTCTTGTACACACAGCACTTTTGGTGAGTGTTCATGTAAAAGTTCTTGTACATCAACACAGTTTCCAAGAAGACCCCTGACGTTCCACTGTATAACTTGTATGTTCACAATGAAAGTAATGTAGTGCTGTGTGTACAAAAAGTAACAGGTCCGTCACGGGCCTCGTAATTTGCTTTTCGGTTTTCTTAGTGTGCTCCCAGAAGCCACGCCGCTCTTCCGGCACCAGGGGTGCCGCCCTGTTCATTGTCCCCTCCGATGCCCCGAATGCCCGCACATGTGAGCTGATTTTCGAAATTTAGACCTCGCGTCATGAGGCGAGACCTTGAAACCTGAGGACCCTGGGGTCTCCGATTTCTGTTTGTGAGTAGGCGGAGAAGACTGAACTACTGCCACCTTAAGGGTAGGAGCCATAGCCAATGGCTCGCTCTAAGTAGGCCGAAAGAGTGGCGAGGGCTGGTGCGCCGCTGCCCCCCGACGCACGGCATCAGCATAGGTCGGGCCATAAAATGGCGAGACTCTTCTTCTTTCTTCTTTGTATAAGATATTCTCCTTCACCTTCAACATGATGATCTGATGATCTCTTTCTTTTTTCCAGAATAAACACGACCGTGAATATGCGGCATGATTTCCATCACAGTTTATGCAGTGCATCAGTTCTTTGCAGGTGTCAGAGATGTGGCTCGAAACTCCACATTGTGCACAAGTTTGCTGGCCACAACAGTTTTGCGCACCATGGCCGAATCTCTGACTTTGGAAGTACCGTCGGAGATTAGGTAAGCATGGTCGTACACGGAGCTTTGTGCACCCAGTTGCAAGTGTCTCAGGAATAATGCTGAAGCCAAAGGTAATGATTATATGTTTTGTTGGAACATTTTTGCTATTTCACTTTATCTTAGTTCTCTTGACATTGATTAGATTCTCTTCTTTCCAGTCATCAAGAAGTTTGGCATCTATCAGGTCAACTAGGTCATCCTCTGACACAACTCTTCAGACAGGTTCAACGAACGATGTGCTGATACAGTGATGGGGACATCACCAAAAGTCTTCAAGCTGGATAGTTTTTCACATTGCTCCTTGTCTCGGACTTCAGTGAGGAGGTCTCTACAGACCATTTTCGTTGCTTTGTAACCTATTCCAAGTGTGTCCATAAGGCACCTTGAAACAAGGAATAGGGAGTTTTTTAACTGGTTTTGCTGGTGTGTCACTGTGTATAACATGATGGCGTGAGAAGTTGTCTTCGTTCAGTTAGAAAAGTTGAAAGCTTGCTTCAGTGCGCACTCTTTTCAGGGAGTGATCAACGGAAAGTTGAAAGTTTTTAGCCAAAAAACATGGATTGTGCTTAATAGCGGTGGCAGCCACCCACCGCCGAGCCCTACAGGGAGGACGCTGGAGGACATGACGAAATAGCTTGCATACGCCAGCTGTGCACCGCCACTATAACCTGATGTGACAAATCCCAAGGTGGTGTGAACACACGAGGTTAACCCTTGCCACCAAGAAGAACCGGTAGTAAACAGAAGAGAAAAGTAGACAGGACAGACAAAAAGTGAAAGAAAAAAACAAAGATGTATGGAGAGAGAGATAGGAAAAGGCGACTGCCAATTACCCCCTGGGTGGGTCAGTCCAGGGGCGCCGCAATGTAAAGCCGGGGCCAAAGGGGTGTATTACCTCTGCTGAGAGGGCCTTGACCTTCGAATGCAGAGATGTTACTTTACGCGTACTTGACTTAAGCCAGTTTGAAAACACCCTTATCGCTGTCAAGTTTCAAGTCTGCTGCGGGGCTAGCTTGAAACAGACTTGGTACATTATTCCAACATGGTCACCTCTCGAATGAACGTCGCGCAGGGGTTGTCCACTTTTGAGTTCGCATGCCACACCATGGATGTTGTGTTTTCGGATGCACATAACCTGCCGAAGATTCCAAGACCCGCCCTACATGACCTAGGAAATCCTTTGGAGCTGTACGACAACGAAATATTTAACACTTGCTACCGGTTCACGAAGCACACCATGCGGCAGTTTCTGTCTATGCTCCAAGAAAGCCGGGACAATCGAGGTCAGCTTGTGCCTTTTATGCTGCAGCTGCTGACAGTGTTAGGAGATTTCAAACAGTGACTGGGCATCTCGTCCCCATTATGCAGTCTACAGTGGGCCGTGCAGTCGGCAAAGTTACCATGCTGATCGCAAAGCACTTGTGCTCCATGCTAGTGCGCTTCTTGCAGCCAGCGGAATTTCAGCAAGTTATGCAGGACTTCTAAAAAGTGGCCGAATTCCCTGACGTGACGGAATGCGCAGACTGCACGCACGTGCAGATTAAAAGCCCCAGCGGTGAAGACGCCGAAGTGCTCCGCAATCGCAAAAGCTATTTCTCCTTCCATGTGCAGGTAAGCAATGAAATTAGTTCTTCATGTTTTTTCTATAAATGCACGGGTCGTAAACTTCTTTCCATGCTATAATCAACGTGTTTGTGTTTGTGTTTATGATATGATTATGATGTTTGTGTTTATGTTTGTGTTTATGATTGTCGTGCACTAGCGAAACAAATAAAGCGAAAGAATAATGCAACCAGTTATTCGAGGAGCCCAGCACTTGCGCCTTCGTGGCGGGTTTTGCTCAACTCTAGGTCAGTCTTTTTTTTTTTTTAACTGAAAAGTTGCTCTGAAATGAACCTTTATTTCTTTTTTACAAAGCACACTACAATGGCATTTTATTAAGCTTTTCTTGCTGCTTGCTCCGGAAGGCAGGTTTCGTGAAGGTTTTCGAAGGAACAGTACTGTGCATTTTGTCATAAAAATGCACTCCGATTGACCGTGACTCAGTGCAACACAAATTTGTGCTGCGCTGGTAGTTTATACCGAACCCGCAAAGTGAAAGGTGTTGTACAATGCTCTGTTTCAGATTATTGGTCTGCTGCTTTGCTGCAGGCTGTGGCTGTTTCACAGCTCCAGTTTTTCGACATTATTGCTGGCTGGCCTGGCTCTGTTCATGCTATCAAAATGTTTGACAACTCCTGCTTACTGGCGGTGTACGAAGAAAACCGGGTGCCCAGAATGCTGTTTGGCGACGCTGGATACGCATTCCAGACACATCTATTCACACCGTTTTCAGAACCAGGCCTCGCAGGCACACCCAAGGGAAGGTTATTTCCTATGTCAGTGGCTACAAAAAGTTGCAGCACGTTTTTGTGGTGTGGCATTGAATCCAGTTGCTTGTGGAATGATGCATAATATTCTTTCATTTGCCCAGGTGCCAAAAAGCCCAAATAAAAACTCACATCACTGACAGGACTTTCAGCGTGTGGAAGAGGCATTTCCCTTTCCTGGACATAGGAATGCAGCACAAGGCCAGAAACATCGTGCTGAAAATCGCTGCTTGTGCAGCACTCCACGACCTGGCCTGCTTATTAAAGGAACCTGAGCTCAAAGGGTTCCACAGCCTTCCCCAATCAGTACAGTGGCAACGAGAACAGTGCATTTGCCACCTGTTGATCGCTTCACCGACAGCCGTTCAGGAAATCAAGCACGGAAGCTGCTCATAAGCACGAGCTTCACATATCTCAGCACTCGGCCATACATGCTCTTTTTAGGGCTGCTGCGCAGGCCCATCTGCTTATCACAATACATGCATGAAAATGTACACTCACATGGTTTCATCGTTTATGAGAGATCCCATCGTTTATTTATAAATAAGGTGCATTACATTGCAGTGTGCGGTATTTCAATCTCAAGTTCTTACTTTTCTATCTCATTCTTGTGCTTTCAAAGCTCGAGCTCTCACACTTGATTGTCTAACTCTCTTTTGTCTACCCGTTTGAGCATCATGTCTCGTAGTCCTCCTGCAAAAGCCGGACATGGACTGCGTGCTAAAGAGCTCTGCTCGAATTACATTTTCAGCGGCCAGCGTCGTCTCCACAAAAGCCATCCGGCCCCTAGGTATCCTGCATGCTTCAGCAGCAACAGTTGCTGCAGAAGTACTACTGCCAGCAGTTCTGGCGGCTTGGTGGCAGTTTACACAACTTTTTGCAGCAGTGTTTGCTTCGGCATCATGCTGTGCTATAGAAGTAGGTCTGCTGTCCTCGTTGGCACCTGTGCCTGTTGGCAGCTGTGACTGCTCTACAGTAGTGGTACCTAGCCACAGATAGTCTGCAATAAACAAGAGATGGCACGATGTTACTAACAAAGCAATGTCTATGACTAAAACACCTGTACACGACTGCACGCAGAGAAGAGACATTTCTGGGAAATAGACACCGTGAAACTTCTTTAGGACAACATCATTACGTCTTGAAATGCAACACACCATACCTTGCCAATCGAAGTATCGAAGTCCACTTCATTTCGACCATCAATCATGGGCTGCAGCAGCCTCGCGACAGGCAGACTTGCAATGGGGGGCTGGTACTTTGCGGCGTCCGAAACAAAGGCGTTTCTCACTCTTGTCGCCATGTGAGCAGCAATCGAACCCACCAATTGGTACATAGGAGCCATGGTGGAAGGCGCCGGTTCTTCTCTTAATCAGCAGTAACGTTTCATTGCAGAATGAAGCACCATTTCATAAACGCCTTCTAAAAAAAAAGAAAAAACTATGCGGTTCCACTATTCCTTTCTCTTAAGTTGAGTGTAATGCAGTTTACCTGATTCAACTCAAAGAAAAATAGCAAAAAATTAAGCAGAACAAGCATGAGCCTGCTTATATGCCGTTTTTTTAAAAACCCAAATACAGTGAAATCTCGGTAGAACGAACCCCATATTAACGAACTTTCCAGATTAATAATTTTTTCGAAAATCCCGCATCGACTGCTAATAGTTTCAATGTAAAGCTATTTGACTACAACGTACTTCAGAATACCAAACTTTTCAGAATAACGAGCATTATTTAGTTCCGCATTATATTAACTACGAACCCATGCTCTGAAATCCGGCGCGACCACCAGAGCGATACGCAAGCAGACGACAAAGGGAATGGACGCCTTGCTGCTCGAAAGACGTGCGACGGTGTAAAGAAAAAAAAACTAAAAAGCTACTTTTTTCTTTCTTTTTGTTGAAATGCCGCTGTTGCAGGTTTACATGCGCAGAGGTGAGGGCAACATAGTGAGGGCAACATAGTGAGGGCAACAGCGAGGTCGAGTGGGAGTTGCGGAGCAGGAACCATGGGCACGGAAAGCCTGAGACAGCAAGGGGGCAGAAAACGAGACACAAAAAATTTTCTTTTTTAGCACTTTTTTTTTTCTTCGGAAGAGGCGATGACCAGAGTTATGAATAACTCTGGCGATGACAGTCGCGAGGTTTCGGTTTTTGCTTTGTCACTTCTTTTCTAGCACTTTTTTTTTTCTTCGGAAGAAGCGATGACCAGAGTTATGAATAACTCTGGCGATGACAGTCGCGAGGCTTCGGTTTTTGCTTTGTCACTTCTACATGTGCTCTAGGAGGCCTTGTTTTACCCGTGCCACACGGGCATGTCGTACTCATCTCTTTTTGGTGGTTACTTGTCGCATCCGCAAACGAAGTCGGCGATCACGCTGCGGCACTACTACAAATGAGTTCATCTCTGCTTGCGACGAAGAAGCGGAAGCAGTTTTCGCTAAGCGAGAAAGTGGATATTCTTTGGCAACTGGAAAGCAAAAGGCAGGCTGTTGTGACCAAAGAACCGAATCGCACCACAGGAATGTGAATGAGCTGGAAAATTTTGCGCTGCAAAATTCGTGCTGCGCTTGTAAAAAAAAAAAAAAAAAAAATCAGCCGACTTTAAAGCAAACGTGCATTTCTTGGTGTTCACTTGTGATTTCTTTTTTTCTCGTGAAGAACGTGTTCAAGGACCAACCGTTGTAAATGTAAGTCATTTTGGATGTTGAAAATAAGTATTCATGGTTAGTTTTTGGGCTTTCACTATAACGAGCTTTTAAAAATAACGAACAAATTGATGCAGCCCCCCCCCCCCGAAGTTCGTTATATCGAGATTTCACTGTATGTCATTTGTCCAAAACTTTATCTGAACAGGCATCTCGAGAACTGTTTGCACTGATCACGCATGCTACATGGCAACTTCAAAGCAGTTCTTTGTGGAAAATGTAATTTTTAGTGGTTCTTTCTTCATTCTTACACCATGCAGTGCAAAACCTAATGGTCATGGCTATTTGCACTCAGCGCTAACATCTCTCCCGAATACAAAACATGTGGAAGATCAAAAGTGAGCCAGTCATGCATAACATGTACCGCTTACCAGTTTTATGGCGCTCTCGCTTTTCTCTTGCAGTTTCCTCTTTCCATTTCTACTTGAGGTCATTACAGCATTTACTTAGCTGCAGGTAGTTATGCTGAATGATTTCATTGTTGGCATTGTAGCACTTGGCAATTTCTTCCCATGTTTATTTTTTTTTCGCTATCGATGCAACATCAGTTTTCTAGCACTCGATGATGAGCTTGAACTGCCTCACGAGAGCGATAAGCACAGTCTTTTCGTCTTTGGTGAACTGCAGTGCTGCTTTGCATTGAGGTGTCTCTTGACACGATAGGGCACTTTGCTGCGACATCTTGGTCCGAACGGTCTTTTCTCCTTGACCATTTTGCTCAAAAAAGTGACGCAGTAGGTTTTGCTTTCCCCAAAACTCCTTTACTAGTAGAGATTTCCCATGATTTTTGCCTCATTTGGTGCAGCTGTGTGGGGCTGAAAAAAATGCCAGACATCCATCTGCAACACAAAGCTACAAAAATAAAAAGAAGTTGCTCCTACTCGGGGATTCCTTCACCGACTAGAACGAGCTTTTCGGTAGAAATGCGAAGGTTTTCTATGGGTCTTCTTATAGCTATGCATTACGAAAAAGTTAACGAACCCTTCGTTCACCTCGCAGGCCTGTGCTCTTTTCATTGTTCTCCACAAATCTTCCAGCAGAGAACATCATGAGGCTGACCACAATCGTGCCCTCCCCCCTGCCCCTCACCAACATGCAAAACAAATTTGTACCCCCGTCCTCCGATGTCCACCACGGTGAATCCCAGCAGCGGCGGTCGCATTTCGGTGGAGGCAAAGTGATCATGGCATTATACTGTCTAATAAAGTGCAAAATAAAGAGTACCAGGTGGTCGAAATTTCCCGGGTCCTCCCGTATGGCGTACTTCACATTTTGGCGTCATCATAATTTTGCGAGGTAAAAGTCTGGATTTATGACGCACATACCATCTGCTGTAATGCCTGCTAATGACAATGCAGATACCAAATAAAAAAAGTGAATAAATATTAGTATGACAACTCCTCTCCATTGAAGTCCCATAGAAGCCCGGGTACTTCACCCGCACTTTTTCTCTTCTCAATTTTCGTAGACAAACCGTTAGCATCTGCGATTCGATTTAGCTTTATTGTCCGGTTGGGACACCCACATGGGTGTGCACGGGAGCTTTATACACCGAGTTTCTAGTACTTGTTGCTTTCATTTTGTATTCACGTATAACTACAACATAGCCCACTACAGGCATGTCCATAGGCGATTCGAAAGGCAAGTATGACGAGAAATCGCTATGCTTTGTTATAACTTGCGACCCAGATATCTGCATATACACCCCTCTGCGTTCTATAGCAAAATACGATAAATGAACACCAGGAAAAATGTGCTCCTTTTGGGCGACCACTGAAACGAGCTGAAAAAGGACGCTTTCCTCAAGCGACAATGCGTGTCTCGGCGCAGCGGCCATCACGTGGACGTCATGTGGCACTCGGTGGAAGTAAAATTGCAAAATTATACTTGTAGCACTTTGAGTCAATAGTTTGAAATATGCAAACTTTTTTGCACTAGCACATACCTTACACCAAGAACTTTATTATTAACCTCGACAACAGGCGAGCAACGGGCTTCTGCATTCAAGGTCGTTCTTGGTTTGACGAAGCAAGACAGCCTGAGCTTCTGTGAATAGCAAAGGCTGACTTGAATGTTTTCAAGACCGCTTCCTGCTTTGGGCCAATTTGCTCAAGTAGAGTCGAAGAACAAGCCAAGTAACATCTCTGCATTCGGCGGTTCATCGGCTCAAAGAAAAGGTTCATCGGCTCAACCCCCAGAATCCCCTTTTTCTAAAGACACGGCAAAGCCGCGCACTGCTAGGCCTGTTAGGGAGTGAAAACCCCCTCATTAGCTCGAGTCCATGGTATCGCTACGCACCAAACTCCTGCTTGCGAAGACAACCCCGCAGGGTAATATACAAAAGGAGGTCTCATAGACTATATTCACTTCAATGTCACAACAAGTGGTCGTCAAGTGTAGCGAAATAGGCATGGTTGCTAGGCAACACGAGGTGCTATTATCACAGCGCGGAGTTTTTCATTCGTGTTAGATTACCACCCACTTAGATAGCTCTACTTTAAAAAAACGTGGCATCGTGCTTCAGTCAGTGAGTACACTGCACTTGCAGTTCGCAAGAAGAGTCGACTCAAGTTATATCATGAATAACCGCCAAACCCTATGGGACACGAAAAGAGACAACACAAGGCAGCTGCAGGGGCTGCTCTCCAAGGCTCAGACGGAGATTAGTATCAGCAGGAAAAACTAGACGCACATTGCAGAGGCAGTGGCCACATTAAGGATGGTGATTGCATTTGTTCACCACCCAGAATGAACTTTTGTTCGTTTCCACTTGAGTGCTCGGCTCCTCTGTTGTCTTCTGGCATTTACTGAACACCACCTTTGTTGAAGGTTATCTGGCATTTTTATTTATTGTCTTATTTTGTTAATTAGGCCCCTAACTTCTACACTTTGCCATGGATTCATTATGGAATTTCTTTCTCAACATCACAGTCATGCAAGCAAACAAAGCAACCTGGAGTTTTCACCAAAACAAGTATGTTCATCTGCACATAGGTCTCATGCCATATATTACATTGTAACATGCCATGCAAACATTTTTTTTATTGCTTTCCTATTGCTCCAAAGGCACATTTTTGTATTACTTTGGTGTGATTGCTAAGTGTGTTACTTAGCTGTTTTCTTAATATTCATAAGCGATGTGCCATTTTTTTTTTCAGAATTAACTGCAATTTTTGTTTGTTTCCTGACAATCCTTAATATGTCCTTTCACTTTAGCTTTATCTGTAGCACAGTTTTTCAAACACATAATTATTGGAAATATTTTTGGCTGTCAGGTTTTCATCATTTGATCTACATTTAGCTCAATGCTTCCTTGAATAAAAGTTTAATGAATAAAAGTGATGAAAGTTTAAAAAGTCCAAGTGCCAAAGATACATCCATACTCACGTAAAATAGCTGCTTGTTTAAACGTACATTCTGGAAGACATCAAATGCTTTGGCAGCACCCTTGCGCGCATTTTGTTGCCCGACTACATCAAGGATGCCTGCAATTTAGAAAAGACACTACAGATAAAGCATATAGATAAAACTTTCTTACCATTACTAAAACCAGTTTTTGGCACATCGCACACACCCGCATGTACGACTCCTTCGGACCCCACCATCAACCAAGCATCCAATGCCCCGGCTAGCTATGTTAGGTAAACAAAATAATTGCGGCATTGTTGTGCCCAAGGATTTCCCCACTTGTTTATGTCTGGTTCACTTCTAAACGTCAAGAACAAAATTAGGCCACCGATTGCCAGGACATAGGTAGGACATCCTCCACAAACCTCGTGCATGGAATTACAAAAACAGCATAATGCCATTGCGAGACATTTTGCTACATTGGTATGAAGCACAATGTGCATGGCATGCATGCCAAGTGGGAAGGAAAAACACGTAACACATGCATGTCATGTTTGTCATGCAATCAATTATTGAACTACATAATGCCACTGTGGTCAGTTGTATTGCTACGGATGACATTCATGTAGAATCAATATGGCAACCACTTGAGTTTTTATTGATACATATGCAGTTTTTTTTCTTAAAGGAGCCAAATCCACAAACCGTAAGTGGGCTAAATCTCACAGGAGACCTCAGAGAATTTCTTTCACTTTTAAAACAATTATAAAAAACAATTATAATCAAAATGTGTAAAATGGGCTTCAAAAGGCAGTTTCAAATCTTAAATGAGTCTAAACTAGCACCAAATTGAATCAAACCAACGCTGTGTCAACCAAAACAGCCAACGTGTCCACATCTAATCAGTTTCATTTGTGTCCTAGTTATTTGGCTATCGTGCTTTCTTTCCACAATTAGGTTTCCTTGGACTAGCTTACTAAAGGACATGATGAAAAATATGTGAACAGGGGTTTACATATTTTTCATCGCAGGCTTTCATTTTTTCTTTTCTACCGTTTTTTAAAGGACATAGAGCAAAACTCCTTTCTGCCTTTCACGACCGAGTTTCACTCAACAATATCACGCCCCTTCCCTTTAAGACAGTATAACTGAAATAGAAGACAAGACGGTGCATCTATCCATTCCTGGAGAAAGAAGAATGACCCCAAATGGTGTGGCATAAAACGAGCTCAAAAAAAGAGCTGAAGCATTTTTCGAAGGCCATCAATAGATGCCGAGAACTAGAAAATGATGCCCATAACAGTGTGTCTTCTGTTTCACAGCACACTCACTCAACAAGTTTAGTAATGGCCATTATGCTCGTGGAACAAATGACTGAACTGACAATGGCTTTGATGTTGAAAAATATTGCCACTTCGTTCATTTCCTGTGATTTCCTCTGGGAACTAATTTAGGCCCCCCCAAAAAATATTCCATTCTAACAGTAGCGTGCTGAATAGATTTTAGCTCCAACACAGACTTAAGGTATTCGGACAAAATGAGCACACTGGCTAAAAATTGTAGGAGTAGGCCCGACCTTCCTGCCAGAAACAAAAAAAAAAAAGCAGCCTTCCCAGTTCCTTTTAAAGAAGACTCGGCTGTTTTAGAATGCAAATGCTGCATATGCATCCATCACAATGCACGCAATGTGAACATAATAATGTAAATGAACAAAAAGAATTTTCAGGGCTCATTTCTTTTTATGTCAATCAAGTTGTGACTAGCTACATTAAAATGCTGTGCCACTGAGCCAAACGCCTTAGAAAAGTGTTTTCCAGCTTTCCAAAGCACCAATGTGGACTGCCTCAATAGAAATTTTAAGGACATGTTAGTACATGCTAAAGTAAACCTGCATTCTACTGCCAGGAATGCAACAGTCGAAATAGAATTTGGAGCAAATTTTTGAGCAGCAAAATTTTACTCTTGGAGCACTAAAATGCAAATTCGGAGCAGGTCCGGGGAATAAAAAAATTTATTGATTTTTTGAAGATAACAAAAAATAAGAACAGCACAACTTATTACTAGTTACAGCATTACTACAGTAGCAAGAAACAAGAACAGGAAAGGGCAGACAGGAAACGGCGCTCTTAACCGTCCTTGTTTCTTGCTTCCATAGTTACGCGGTAACTACAAATAGGTAGCGCTGTTCGTATTTTCAGTTACGTCCTACCAACTTGCCGAAGTTTCTAAGCTTCATATATTACTTTTTTGCACGAAAAACCAAATTTTGAGCAGTATAAAAAGAGTGAGGTTTACATTTAGAAAAAAAAAATTATGTACAAACCATCCAACACCACCTGAATCGTTCAGAGTAAACATCAGCACTGCTTTTTCAATGAATGTAGTATTTTCAACTATCCCACAGAGCAAACAATAATAAAGTCCGCATTAGTATTTGCCACATCTTTCAAATACTTTAACAGACTCTGCAAATTCAAATGTGGATCTGCCAAGCTGGCGACCTCGAAAATCAGGGGATTAGTGAAACTAAGGAGCAGGGGTGGCAAAAAAAAAACTAGCACACAGCTTTTTTTTTAAGGCACCAGAAACGTCATACACTGCTCCAAATATCTGCTCGTAATATTTTTGGAAGTCTGCAATCATACGAGTACTCACAGCTATGCGGTGTTTACACGCATTAGTAATTCAACAAAATGAGGTGTGGCTAGTGCTAGACCTAATGGGAATATAGTGGTTTACGGTCAGGGTCTGTGCGCTTAAATTGATTGATTGACTCAAACAGCAGGCGACCAACATGGCCTCTATTTGTCGCTGAAATCGGCGCAACTGAAAAAATTTAAAGCTGGTCGTGCATTTTGGCACAGTGTGGCGCAATTTCAGCAAATGTCATGGTTTTGGGGCACTTTTTGCACCCCTGTACTACCCTCACCACACCTTGCTCTCATCCAAGACTTGCAAATGCCTTCAAGATCATGTTAAAAGTGCCAAAAGTGATTAAGTCCATCATGTAAAATCTAGTTTTACCTTCACTAGTTATCTACATGACCGAAAAGTTCTTATTGTCCAAACGGTACATGAGCAAAACGAGATTAAACAGACATTGTGCGGACACGTCAATGAAATTATCGAAAGCACTGGCACAGCACTTTAATGTAGCAGGTCACAATTTCAGTGACCTCAAACTTTACAGATTTCAGTCATAGTTCTGGCCCCAAGAGACTGTTTAAAACATAAAAAATATGCAGAGCCATACTTTATTCCCAAGTTCATAGTACTCCAGCCAGCAAGTATAAACATTTCTAAGGGGGATCTTCAATTCATTCGATATGGTTCGTACACAACAAAAAACCAATTTCCTTCTGTCAATTTCTAACCTGTCGTTAGGTGGTGCTTTCGCTGATAACCCTCCCCTCTCCACTTCTTTCTTTTCTTCTCATTCACGGAATAGTTTTCCTCTTTTTACTCACAAAATTAGTCGCGGTGCCCCTCTCTCTCCTCCCACTACCCTGCATTCCCAGTTGCCCTCTGCCCCTCCATTGTTTGAATTGGAGGAGAGGGTACAAAGCATAGACACGCCAGGGCCAAGAAAATCAGTTCTCGCTTCAAAAAAGACAAGTCCACTCGTCGAAATGACGACTCAGGCACACAACCCCTGTTTACGGGTTTTTTCATAACATTAAAAACATGACACGTGTATTACAAAAACAAATGCCATTGTATGCCAACACATGCCATCATCAATAGTGGAACATGTCAAACAACATGAATAGCATGTCATTGCATGGGATGAGTATAGAATGCATATCGTAAGATGAATGGCATAAATTACACAACCTCATATATTAAACAACCACATGTTTATACTGATATCCAGCTAAGTAGGCCTAAATATTTCGTACTTTATTTCCACCTTAGCCCTCAATCATCAATGCTTCATTTTGGGCATGTTGTATTTATATGAAACCTACCACTTACTCCAATTTCCAGTTTTTTTGTTTTCTTTGGTGGGGGTGCTAACAGAAATATAGTAGTAGTAGTAGTAGTAGTAGTAGTAGTAGTAGTAGTAGTAGTAGTAGTAGTAGTAGTAGTAATAACATCTGGCCTTTAACGTCCCAAAACCACGATATAATTATGAGAGACAGCTCTAACACATGTGAAGAGAACGAAAAGGGTTAATAGAAGGTGGCTATAAAAGTGGTTTGTGAATAGTGGCCTCATTTGTTTTCGAAGCGTGTTAAGGGCATAAAAACAATACGAAAGGCAGAAGACAAGCTTGGTTTGCAATTACGTGACTGCCGAGGCACCTACTGGCACATCAACATAGGTGACTGGTCAGCTGCCTTCCTCAATTCAATATAAGTCCATAATAATATATATTTGAAAAAAACCACAAGTCTGACATCCAACACAATTTTTCTTCAAATGGGTTCACGAAATCCATTCTTTTTTTTTTCCCGCACCGTTCTTAATAGGATGCCTGTGACATGCTGATTACTGTATAATTTTCTCGGTTTATGAAAATCTTGCCCAGACAAAGGCACATGAAGTATTTGATGTTCTGAAAACTATGTACTGTGCTGGAAAAATAATTGTAAATTTCAAACGAGCAAAATATATATCAGGTCAGCAATCTTGAACAAAATTAGTGAAGATTAAAACAAACAAACTTTAACATCAGTCTTCCTCATTAATGCAGACTAGACCATAGGCTATCCCAGCTCACTTCTGAGTTGGTTCGAGATTATTGAGAAAGCCTTTTGTTCTGCAGTGAACAAACAATAGGTTGACGACAAAGATGATAGCACATACAAATATAGAAAAAAAGTTACAGCTTTGCCGGAAAGGTGCAGCAATGAACGCGATAGCAACAAATTGGAAGGTCACATGCAGAATGGCAAGCAGATCGAAACGCGCCCGCATTTCTCACGCACAAATGACACTCAAAACGTACTCACAGGTACAGATGAATGCAAATAAGCATCTCTGTTACTTTGCTGTGTCGGAACAACGCGCTCTTTTCGCAAACGGAGACTGCAGCGAGCGCAGTGACCTTTGTTCGCCCGGGTAACTACAACATAATCGTTCAGGTGAGAGCCCTAGGCATACGATTCTCCCCACCCGAGATAAGCGCGCAGCGCCCCCCCCCCCCCCCCTCCTCCCCGGCCCTCCCATGCGTGGGAGGTGAGCGCGCGCCGCCGCCGCATCACGATGATCTAGGGACGCTACATCAAGGAGCTTTAAGGGACACGTGCTCATTGCGCAATCTCGCTGATAATGCTGAAAATACGAGGTGGCCATCGCCAGCACTAAGTGGTAGATATAAATAGCTTGCATTTTGATGGTGGGGGAGGTGCTCCTTCGTGGCCCGGCTCAGTGGCTAATGCCTCGCACTCACAAGCAAGAGGTCGGACATTCGATTACGCGTGCCGGATTACACGTGCCTTTTTTTTTTTAATTTTCTGGATTATGTTTTTTTTCTTGCATTCTAATATATAGACATAGATACGTATACATATATGGTGAATCACGGCCATGCCGGTGGCAAAATTCAGCCAAGAGTGTCCATATAATTGCTATCGAAATAAAAATTGTAATGTCATACGAAGTAAGGCTGGCAGCCAACTCTTTTGGATCCGACATCGCGGAACCCCTTCTAAATGTTTTATGTGAGCAAATACGGCCGCTCCAGGAAGAAGTGATCTTTTCACACAGTCCCTTTGCCTTGAAAGAGCACAGCTGATACTTGCCGAGATAGCACGCACGCCAGCGATTGCAACCGCCTTCAATATCAAAAAGTTCACAGTAGCTACTCAAGTGAGCCTACACCCCCCCCCCCCCCCCCCCCGCCTCCCGTTTTTTCATGCTAGTTAAAGACGGGTGGTTTCCTTTCTGTTTGAGCATTCACGGCAGTTATAACACGCCGGGGATGTTATCTTATGCGCCTTCCTGCCGATAGAGATGGGCCAGCCCACTTGATCGGAGCTTCAGCAGCGCTCGCACCCTTTTACCCGCTCAAGAGAGTTACGATGTGCGGGGGCATGTTATCAATTAAGATCGACTTGTTACGGAACATGGGAGCCACAGCAACTGCCTGCAAAATCCGCTGAAAGTGTACATACAATTGCTATTGCAATAATAACACAGTTTTTCACCGCTAAATCAGTGTTTTTGGTTAACTCTGCCTTCAGTCCCCCTTTTCGTTTAATTTGCGCGTTCATTTTGCTAGTTTTTGTACCGAACCTCCATATAACAAAATCCTCTTTAGAGCAAATTTTTTCACGAATTTATTCATTTTGTTATATACAGGTTTCAGGGGGGACGAGGGTCTTAAAACAGCACAAAGTTCTAATAAGTGCCGACTTTCGAAAATTGCAGTTTGAGATATTTATAGTCGAAAGTATGTGTGGAAAAATTTTATAGTATAGCAGAATACTACTTATTTTTGTTAAAAGCTTAATATATGAAATCACAAATGTTTTTAAATCTGAAAACATAATTTTCTTGGCATTGTTAATTTTGTGAAGTGAATGTGCCTTACGGAAATTTTGAGAAAGTTTCTGTGAAGATATCTAAACAAACTTGGTACCATTCTTTTTCGAGGCACTTGAAATACACACTGAAGCTTTTATTTTTCTCTCAACCTTGATAGAAATGTAACTATATGACAAATACCAGCTAATTACTGGAAGCTCACTTTTACCTTCCAAGTTTAAACATTATTTCTGATCAAAATCTACTTTGCTTTAGCCTGTGGGATGACCTCTTTAGAAGAAACAGGTAGTTGTGAAAACTAATATTTTTTATTGTGAGTTAGCATAAAGACCCGTAAAAAGTTACCTCCTTATAATGTGGAAATTTGTCATTACTTTTTTTCTAAATGAAATATCTGAAATCTGTTGGCAGATTTCAAATCTCTATTCAATGGTACACATGCATGCTAATTTTCATGAGAGTAGGATAATACACAAAAACATTTTAAGACCCTCGTCCCCCCTTGACTGTACTAGTAGAAAACCTCAGTACTGTTTTTCTAGAGCATTTTCGTAAGTAAGTCAACTTCTTTGAGACTTATACAGATCTTTTAGCCTGTTTTTCGTCTAGGCAAGACCGCTCTAGTTAAAATAATAGCGGTTGTCGCAAAAACTATGCTGAATTTGCTCATTCACCTAGAACCCAACGTATTTTGAAGTTAAACGCAATGCAGACAGCTGAAATATAGGCAGAACATCGATTCTCAGTCAACTTGCGATGGGAAATGCATCCAGGCCAATCTATACAGATGACTTTGTGCGTATCCACATAAGCAGTCCACAAATGCGGCATGAGAATGTCTGCTGGAAGCACGATGAATGGTCAAGTTTGATAATAGTAGAACAATAAAGCCGCCATGCGCAAGAGCGCGGCGGACCGCCGCAGTACGCCGCCGTAGCAGACGATACGCCGAGAGAAGTGCAAGATCTGACTGCTGTGCTGCTAGTTCTTTCGACTGCCGTTCGGCTCATTTTTCTCCGCTTGCTAGTGGACATATGAAGCTCTGAAACTAAGTTTATTCTAGTAATGTTGGTTCTCCAGTCATTCGGGAGTTGGCCTTCTTCTAATGAACATAAAAACACAATGGAATAATTTAAAAGATTATTTAGATCAGGAATACAGAAAGAGTGCATCCTGCCTGCCCTTCCTGAAAAAAATCATTGCATGGCCCCTTCATTGATCAGATGCATTTCTCGCCGACCCTGTAGATTGGTGCACAGATTCTACAATCTTAACCTGAATGCTCTTGCAGTGCCTAGTCTATTTAACGCCGCCTCCTGCATACTAATCTTCAATTATACTTTGTTACTTGCCCTCTTGAGATTCTCGATCCTTTGAAGTAGCCACATTGTTGAACCAAAGCATAATCATGCACTCTCTTTCGAACCAGAGTGTCAGTGAAAGTTTCAGACACATTTAACTGATTCACCCTTAATGACCAAGAAAGGGCTCTGAGCGAACACTAACGTGGCAAGTTTTCCAGCAGCAACAATTTGGCCTGCTTGCGAGCAGCCAGCTGTTCCTGCTCCGAGCGTTGCAACCATTCGGGGGCAAGCTGACCTTCGGGCCATATCGACTCCCGCAGCAAGTCCAGCATGTACACTTGCATGGGCTCCGAGAACACCCACGACACCCACTCACGGAGTTGCCTGAAAAACAAGATGACAAAATAACAATGCATATTGCAATGGCTAGGAAAGAGAAATAAGCTAATATGATTTAGTCAGAATGATTTGAAGCAGATCCAACGCACCCCATCATCACTTACGAGGCTGTTGTACTACAACAGCGAAATACAAGTCATGGTACCCCATTTGTGCGACCACTGCTTGCCAGGGTCGAAACGAGCTGCCAGGTCGTGCTTTCCCTCAAAAGCTGAACAATGAGACAAGCGTTTCGAAAAACTACGGCAAGTTCTCTGCCTGCCAGCTTGACAGAGCATGTAACAGGGGGCCTGCACAGCCTTAAACAATTCCGCTCACTGTTTTCAGTCTCCTTCACAACGGTCGGGACAAGGTCCACATCATCTTCCCCCTCTTCTCCTACATTGACCGTAAGCTAACACGGCACAACTAAAGACAGTCCAGCTCACGAGAGACTGAAGCATAAGGGTCCACCTGCGTGGACGAGGCATTGACCGCTTGTCCTAGGCTGGCAGGTTTTGTTTGAAGAAGAAACGGGACTGCAGATTAACGGTGTCGGTGGGGGAAATAAGCGTACGCCAAAAGTCTGGAGACTGATAGGACGAAGGGCTGCACGAGGGCCGCAAAAGTGGCACAACATAAAACTGTGAGGTCTCGCAATGAGGCATGCTCTCAGAACAAATGGACACAGCAGATACGGTCATGCAAACCGAAACACAGTACATTTATTCAATTACTTTCACATCAACAATATTGTCAGTTGAATCAAATATGTCGCTAGTGACACACTAAAACCACCTTATATAATATTCCAATACACTTAATCAACATAAAAACAAACACAAGGTAACTCTAAGGCATTGTCACTCATGTTCGACTGACTGCAAGGGTTCCACAAGACACAACCTGCAGTTGCTGTATTCCCCGGGACCCTCTCAGGAGACGACCATTCACGCCAGCCGCCACACGCCAAAGAGGGCTACTCATGTCTCATGTGACACTAGCCATCTTCGCTGCCAGGCATCACTGCCAGTGCTACCGTGCTAATCTGCTCGAGCAAAGTACCACCTACTGCGGCCTATCCACGTGACACGTGTGCGCCACGAGGTGCAAATGACATTACAAGGGGTGATGCACCCCCACATGCACGAACCTTCGTTCTAAAGCTCATTCTATCACTCTGTCAAGTTTCATTTAGCCCCAATGTTGTCGCAGAGTGTAATGCAACAGTAGAAACAGCTGACTTTTCTCGAAATGAAAGCCCACAACCTGAACACCTGGACACAGTAGACATGGTCGAGCAAATAAAACATTGTGTTCATCTATCCAACTACAGTCGAATCTCGATAATTCGAACTCGAAGGGGCCCGAAAATTTGATCGAATTAAAAGAAGTTCGAATTAATAAAAGCTAAATAAACGGAGGGCTCTCCGTGAAGTGGCGCATGTGCATTGAGCTAACACATGAGGGGGAAGTTTCAGAAGACTTACATTTATTCACATATCACAGGACATTGGTTATTATTGAAGTAATCGGTGATGCGCGTCTGCACGCGTTTGCCTTGCAGCAAGTCAATCAATCTGCAAGCTGTGTGCGGCTTCAGCATTCTCCTGGCAAAACAAGTTGCGCGCGGAAATGTGCCGTAGTCAGATAGGAAGGAGATGCGGCGCAAAGCGCTTTGTCCCAGAGTCTCACGTAACTCATCCACCCATCATCATTGATACGTCTGTCCCAACACTTTCTTTCCCCCCCCCTCACCCCCGGCACCGACACTTTCCAATGACGGCAACAACAACGACTGCGTAGCGGAGAGCCGCAGCATGGCCAGCACGTGACGAGACAGGAGGAGCGTTTCCACGCGGAGAGAAGCAGATCGGCATTTTAAAAGAAAACCAACATTCCACAACAGCTTTTTTCTTTCTTTCTTTGCTCTCTTTGCGCACGTCGTTGAAAGGAGAAGGGTTACGTGGCAGGGACCAGAAAGGGGGAAGCGTGGCACTGCGTGTGAGAGACCCCCCACCCGCTCAAGGCACAGATCCATGCTCCCGCACAAGGGCTGCCGAAGATAGTGCCATTTTCCTTTCCTTCAATCACACACTCATTCAACCCAGCGACAGCTTTCCTTTTTTCCTCTCTCTCTTCGCGCACGGCATTGGAAGAAGGGGCTTTACGTAATGGGGACGGAAAAAGGAGATGCGTGACACGGGCGTGTCGCAGATCGGCATTTGAGATTGAGCAAGCGTTCCACCGCAGCCTTTTCTTTCTTTTAATTCCCTTCGCGCGAAGCGTTGAGGTGTCGCAGATGCCGCCGCGGAATTGGGCGGGGTGCTCAGAGCATTTTCGGAGCGCTATATATTTGAATTAACCGTCGCAAGTGCAAGCGAGTTCGAATTACCGGGCGTTTTCGCCCATACAAATACACATAGCTTTGACGGGACCTCATTGTGAGTTCGAATTAACCGGAAGTTCAAATTAAGCGTGTTCGAATTAATGAGATTCCACTGTACTTTTACATCGACGATATTGCCAGCCAAATCAAAGATGTCACTAGAGACACGCTATAACATCCTTATACAATATTCCAATGTACTCACTCAACATAACTAATACAACGTGATACGAAGGCGGCGGCGCCAAGGTTCAACTCACCATGAGGAGCCAATGGGAGATGAGCACTGCCCCAGCTGCCACACGCCAAAAGTGCACCCTAGGCCAACCTAGTACGGTCCCCATTTGTGAGTGGGCCACTTTTGGGATATATCAGACGTGGTGTACCAGTGTTGAGCTCACTTGCATCGTAGTCACTGCGTGTCTTTTGTTTGAGCACAGCCGACTCTACCAGGCCGATGAGATAAAGATTCAGCCGCACTAGGGCGACACTCCTCCCCGGATGGTTACCAAGTATCATAGATGTGGTACTAGCTTGTTGTGCTGATATTCCATATTAATTATGTGAAGAAAGTTTATTGAAGGAACTGAGCAAGCGGGTGGTAGCTCGAAAACAACGCAGGCGGACCCAGATGACGGTGCTCAATCGCCAATCTCGTGCCTTTTTTTTTTTGTGTTGATGATAATTGAGCCAGTGGTATCAACGTCTTCCTTATTCACTGTAATTCCTCCCGGCGAAAAAGTTGAAGCCATCCTGGCAATCTAATGCGTGGTGACAAGCGGGTTGAAGCAGAGCTTGAGACGGTTTACGTGAACGATATCACGTCCACGCCCACGACGGTCGCTCGGTTGCGTGAGGGGTACGCTCGATCACGCGGTAGGGACCATGATAATTAGAGAGTAGCTTGGGTGATACACCAGGGGCGCAGGGCAATACATGCAGCCGTACAAGTGCTCCAGGAACGAACGTTGGCGCAGAACGACGCTCGTCGTCACGGGTCTCCTTCTGGCTCTGTTGGTCGGCTGTAGTAAGCCGCTTGGCTACCTTGCAGCACTCTTCTGCGTAACGAGCGGCTTCAGAGACAGGCGTGCATTAGGAGGGATCTGGCGAGTATGGCAGTAAAGTGTCGGTGGTGTGCGGTGATTGGTTACCGTACAGGAGAAAAAATTGGGAAAACCCGGTAGTGACTTGCGTAGTGGTGTTATACGTGTATGTCACAAATGAGGGAACTCTCGTTCTCCCATTTGTGACATACATGTATAGATCCCAGTTAGTCTGATCAGAAGCGACATGCGTCGCGAGCATGTCCCCCAGAGTACGATTAAACCGCTCAGTCAAGCCGTTCTTCTGTGGGTGGTAGGCTGTACTCTTGCGGTGTACAATATGGCACTGTTGAAGAAGTGCTTGGATTACATCAGAGAGGAAAACACGCCCTCGTTCACTGAAGAGTTCGCGAGGAGGACCATGACAAAGCACAAAACGACTGAGTATGAAAGTTGTGACATCTTGTGCTGCAGCAGTGGGGAGAGCAGCAGTTTCAGGGTACCGAGTAAGATGATCCACAGCCACGATAGCCTATCGGTTGCCTGCCGTTGTCAATGGTATTAGTCCGTAGAGGTCAATTCCTACATGGTCGAATGGGCGGTCTGGGCATGAAAGTGGCTGCAATGAACCTGTTGCAGGATGTGGCGGGTTTTTCTGCCGCTGACATTCGTGGCAGCCGTGAATGAACTGGCGGACGAAGATAAACATTCCATGCTAGTAATACCTTTTTCGTAGGCGCTCGTCGGTCTTGAAAACACCGGCGTGAGCACATTGCGGATCGGAATGAAACGACAGGCAGATAGTAGAGCGTAGCGTTCGGGGAATGACTAGTAGCCATTTCCTATCATCTGCTGAATAGATGCTCCGGTACAAAAGGCCATCCCGAATACTGAAGTGCGGAGCCTGGCGGCGCAGGGCTTGAGTGGTTGGAAGTGTCGGTGCCTCGGATAACGTGTAGCGAAGCGATCTATGGATCATTGCGTTGTGCAGAAGAGATGGTGTCCTCATCAAGAGCTGACAATGTGTTGTCCGAGAAAACACGTACACGAAACGCGTACTGAACAGGAAGTGTTTCTGCGCAGCAGCAAAACGATGCAGAACGAACGCGAAATCGTGGAGTGTCATCAGGGGAAAGTAGAGTGTAGATATTAAAACTGACCACGTGGCTTTTGTTTTGTTTTTCATTTACTTCTTAAAAGGCGCTTCACTAGGCCAAAAGAGAAATTTTACTTATACCCTGCAAGTTGTTGTGTGCCCAACGAAAAGCTTTGCACCAGTATATTTTTTTAATTGATTGATTAGAAGCCACGAAAGCATGATAAAAGGAAGTGAGCTTGAAACTTATGCCGCTCGCCAGGGGTAGATTTCGCTTGTGTAATTCCTTCCTTGCCCTCTTCGGTATTGGAGCAATTTGGAGCCAGAAGTTCACACGACGAAGACGCATTAACATGTCAAGCGCACGTAAGGTTACATTCACATGACATGCTCGTGCTAGGGCGTTCACGCAAGCAGTGTTACGCCGTTTTGATGTTCCCTGTACCGTACTGCATGTTTCTGGGGGATGAATCTCTTC